GGGCCCCCCCCCCCCCCTCTCAAATTCAGCAGTCTTGATGTCTGCTTTTGATCAGCGTCAGTCATCGATGTTGACAACCCAAGTCTTAATTTCACTGTTTATAGAGCGGAGTGCTTCTCAGGCCTAGAGGGACCTTTGTGATTTGACGCTCAATGAGGAAGTTCATGTCTTAGATTATTACACCGATGTCCTGATGAGCTTGAGCGAGACTTGAGAGTTTTTGTGGATCTAATTAAGTGATGTTACAGAGGGATGATAATAGGCGCACTTGTTTAATTTATTTATTGTGTTGAGTAGAGATGGATGCATGAGAACTTATAACACGTATTACTGAAACAAAGAGAACAACTGGAGCGTTTCCTTCTTGGGGTGAATGAATGGTGAATAGAATATGATGTAAACATACAAATATTACCTCACTGTTGTATAATTGAACTCAACAAAAATTGCTAATTATATTTGTGCCATTTATAACTCAGTTGTATTTTGTTTTAGAGCTACTATATGTAGTAAAACATTAATTCTGTACATAAAAGAAAAACATTTTTATGAGATGCCCCAGTAGAACATTTGTTAATATAATTAGTTTGTGCCTAATTAATGAGTCTTTTATATATATATATAAGTTATTGGTAAAGCTGTTTTTTTTCTATTGTGTATATATATGCTATTTAAATAATTTATAAGGAGCTGTAACCTGACATGAGAAGTGTTTGTATAAACGGTTTGCACACTGATGAGGATTTTCTTAGTTTAAGAACGCTTCAGTGTCAGTATTGTTACTAGTTTTACACAATTTTGTTTAATTCGTATCGATCCTTTTGTAAAATCAATGAACAATAAATACTTTTGATTAAAAAATGACAATGAAATGCTTTTGTTTTTAGTAGCTCACGACGTCAGCCGGCCTGATTTCTAAAAAAAAAAAGTTTACACTATAAATCTCAAAGAAATCCAGTCCATAAATAAGAATTTGTCTTAAGTAGATATTTTAATTGCGTAGTCTGCCTGCGGTTTGGTTTATGGTTAAAATGACTCAAGGTTACTGCTACAACAAAAGCTAATTTGGTCAAAAGAGCATTTAAAAAAACCCTCACATGAAATCTAGGATCCAACACTCGGCTCACCTTCAAGGTCAGGAACGCTGGGAATGCTGGCGTCGCTGTAACACGTCCACAGGTGCAGAAACGTCATGCTTTACACGCAGTAATCTACAGTTTGTGAAGACAACGTGAGCTGTTTCCACTTTAGCTCTGGACACTGATTTAGTACAGTACTGTTCAAACGTTTGGGGTCCGTATGACTTTTTCATATTTTTGACACGTCTCGTCTGCTCGCCAAGGCTGCATTTATTTGATCAAAAATACAATAAAAATAGTGAAATATTATTATAATTTCAAACAGCTGTTTTCTATGTGAATGTGTTAAACTGTAATGTATTTCTGTGATGCGCAGCTGTATTTTCAGCATCATTCCTCCAGTCTTCAGTGTCACATGATCTTCAGAAATCAGTATAATATGCTGATCTGCTGCTCGAGAAACATTTCTGATTATTATCAGTTGAAAACATTAATATTTTTGTGGAAACCGTGATACATTTTATTTTTCAAGACTCTTTGATGAACAAAGTTTGATCATGCATTTATTTGAAATAGAACTCGTGTCATTTTTGATTAATTTAAAGCATTCCCCAAACGTTCGGACAGTAGTGTGTGTACTTGCGTGGTGTTAATGAGCCATAACACAAGTGCACTAGTGAGGGTTCTCAACGAAGAACAAGGTCAGCATCAGACGGATTTGATCCACATATTTCTTCGAGTTAATCAAAAACTCATGACATGAATAAAAAGACATATTGGTTTGATTTTTGAAAAGGAACATTTTATTTTGTCCTCTTACGTTCTATTTCAGATGTTCTGGAGTCTGACCGTGATGCTGACGCTGGCAGACACATCAGAGACTGGATGACAAACACGCTTTCGTGTCCTCACTTATTGTGCAACTCTAAAAGCACAAGGACCTAGATTATGAACCAGAGCGAAATAGAAAACAGAAGAACAGTCTCCTTCATATTTCATGCCTCTTTCTTTGCGTCAGTCTCACTGTGCCGTAGCAGATCCGAGCCGGAGAGACGTGGAGAAGCATCCAGAGCCGAGCTTGTCCCGAGAGATGATTCTGATGAGGAACCTGCAGGAGATCGGAGCATGTTCTCCTCACATTCCTGCAGCAGATTCCTCAACTCATCGTCAGACAAACGAGCCGACTGCGAGAGAAGAGCAGAGACGGACATGAGCACATGCTGCAGTGACCAAAACAAACACTTTCCTCACGAAGAGCTCAAACTAGTTCTGATTTGGAACTGGAGAGTGGATTATATTATAAAAAATATATACAAATGTGTCCCTGTAGCACAAAAGGGGATATTTGTAGCAATAGCCAACAATACATTGTATGGGTCACAATTATACATTTCTCTTTTATGCCAAAAATCATTAGGATATTAAGTAAAGATCATGTTCCATGAAGATATTTAGTAAATGTCCTACTGTAAATATATCAAAACTTAATGTTTGATTAGTAATATGCATTGCTAAGAACTTCATTTGAACAACTTTAAAGATAATTTTCTCAATATTTAGATTTTTTTGCACCCTCAGATTCCAGATTTTCAAATATTGTGCTATCCTAACAAACCACACATCAATGGAGAGATTATTTATTCAGCTTTCAGATGATGCATACATCTCAATTTCATAAAATTGACCCTTATGACTGGTTTTGTGCTCCAGGGTCACATATATACTTTTTGGGCCAAAATATATTTTAAATAAATGCTAAATATAAGTTGTAAAGAGTGAAGCTCAATGAAATATATATTGGAAATTGAAAATATATTTAGTTTCAACCTTCATATACCAAAATATATTGTAAAATGTATTTCAGGGGCAAGAACATAACACGTGTTATAGAAAAAAAACAAATGTGACATGAATGTATTTTCTTGAATTGAAATATATGGCGCTCAAAAAAAATTGGTTTAAATTCTTTAAAAAATATATTTATATTTTTAAAATAAATTCTCAAAAACATACAAAAAGTATTGGTAGAAAACATATTTACATAAATGTATTTTGTATGAACATATTTTAGCAACTATATATTTTTGTCCTTTTTAAAATTTATTTTGAAATATATGTAAAATTATTTGAATTTGTTTCCCCAAGAGTTCTCTCAAAGTGATCTAAAGTTGAAAATTCTTCCTCTGAACAGACTAAAGTACAGCGCGTTCATCATTCTCCAGACGGCTCTGACCTCCAGTCATCAGCTCGTGTTCCTCACTAAACTATTGTCTTTCTTCCCTCGGGGTGCGAGAGGCGCTGGAGGTCGAGGTGAGGGTGAAGGGTGAGGTCAGACCTCCTCGATCTACCACCAGCACACCGAAACACCCTCACGCTGCAGAAACTCATGCTCTTACTCACTATGTTTGTCTGGTTTTCCCGCGCAAACATCTGAACGTCCTTAAATCAAGACACATTTACTGGAGCGTCACAATGACTGAAGATTATACGTCTTGTTTTCTGAAAAATGCATCAAACTGAAGTGAGTTTATCATTAAAACAAGTTCAAATATCAGTCAACGGGGTCAGAAAAAGAAGTGTTTTCCCTTTAGGTTAAGTCTATTGTCAGATACGTGTTCTGGTTGAATCATAAATTCACTTCATTTTGATCAGCTTCTCTTATCTTCAGTCATTGTGAATCTCCAGAGAATAATCTTGATCTAAGTCTTGAATTTTGTTGCACTTTGACGAATTGATTTTTGAGTTGTGGAAAAACCTGATATGTTTTCTTGGTATTTTGTGACTTTTAAAAAAAATCTCATTTAGGCTCATGAACAAGCATGCAAAGTTCAGATGATCTGATGAATACAAACATCGTATTAGGATTATAATGTTTGCGGATCAATTCGACACATTTCATGATTAATGTCAGCTACACAGAAACAAAACAAATTTGATTATTATTGTTATTCTGTTATGTCAGTCTCTCAGCTGCTCTCTGGGGGTGTTTATTCACATTTATAAATCTGATCCAAATTTATATATTGATATAAATTTTATCCAAAGAAATTTACACTGCGTTGATGGGAATCGAACCCATGATCTTGGCGTTGCGAGCGCTACACTTTCGCTGTTTGAGCTTCAGGATTTGTTACAAATAAGAAAATAAAACGTTATAATGCTGTTTATAAAAGTTGCAGTTTGTGAAAAGAGTAAAAATAGTTACATTTTATTTTAAAATGTTTTTTAAATGTGTG